CTTCCTCTCTCTCTCTCTCTCTCTCTCTCTCTCTCTATCTATCTCTCTCTCTCTCTCTCTCTCTCTCTCTCTCTCTATCTCTATTTATTTATTTATCCGTCTGTTATTTGCTCTCTCGTTTTGCGCTTTGTAAGCACTCATCCACGAGGACAATCACAACAACCGTCCAAGTTTTCATCGTCCAGTCATCGTATTACCCTCCATCACTCGGATATCGTCAAATGCTCAAGATTAAGGGGCAAAATGTCGAATTAAAATACGAACCTGCATTAGCATCGCTGTCGATCGGTCGCGATTCGAGCAGCACGACCGGTAGGACTTCAGCGGCCGTCTTGGGCTCGACGATTGACACCGCCATCTGCGCTTCCTCGGCAGCGACGAGGACGACCCCCGCGAGGCCTAGGAGGACCAACAGCAACCGCTTCGTCGCTAACATCTCGCGCGTCAGCGATGATTGCCGCATCATCGGGGCCCCGTTGATCTTACATCTTTCGTCCCTACACCGTCGACTTACTTCTCTTCTCTCCGTCGTCTCGATCTCCAACTGCGCGTATCGTCTTAGAGCCACGCTCAGCCTCGCCCGGTCGTCCCGACGCGTCTCCCAATCATTTCCTTAACTCGGCTACGGGAGCGAGCGAACGTCGAAATGGACTATTTAAAAAAAAAAAAAAAAAAAAAACAGCGCACAACAACACCGCTCACGGCTTTTAAAAGCGTGGGCGCGCCCGCAGCCCTAGCACGTCGAGTCCACGCGACAACGACTCCAAGCAAGATGAACGGGACACCTTCTGCTTACGATGCGCCCGCTAACGAACAGACAAGTCCGCCTCTCTGTTTACACCAAAGTGCATTTAGACCTAAGTGCCCGCCTCGTGCACAAGTCCATGCCGCACTACTGTGCTCGCTGGCATTACAGTGTCATCAGGTGTTTGTATTTTAGCAGCCGACCGAGTTTGCGGGGCCGGAGCAGCGACCTCTGGAGGACCTTCACTCCGGCAATGAGTAAATTGACGGTATCGCTGCTGGGTATGGCTCTATAGACTCGTGACGGCGCAAGCCTCGAGACTCGAGCCTCATCCTCGTCGCTCGCCCATATGTCTATTCGACAATACGGTGGCTGCGCATTTTTATACGGCCGAGACCGGGCCTAGAGTCTCTTCCGCATCATCTTCGGGACGCGGCGTGGCAGTGAAGCCGCGATGTCAGCGCGTGCGGTGGGACGCGGTCGGGCAAGTTTTCGTGGCTGCGTTGCAGCGCGTACGTATGCCTTAACGGATTCGCTCGAGCACATAACCTCAACGCAACGCCCGAGGCTTTCTGCTCTTTTGGCGGCAAAAGATCTTTAGCCGCGCTCGCGTGAGGGACGACGGTGTCGTCGAGGCGAAAGTGTAATCCTAATTTTTTAATGATTGAACATCATGTTTGTGAAAAATCTACAAAATGACTTCTACAATGTGATACATGGAAAAGTTAGTAAATTTATCTTTTCCTTTATTTTATTTTTTTTTTTTTTTTTTTTTTTTTTTTTTTTTTACTTAATCGTAGTGACTATTGTTTGTGGAATGTTATTGTTTTTATCGTTATTATTGGTGGTTAACTGGAATGAGATTAGTTTTGCTCGGACCGTTATTTCCTGGCGTACGCGTGCGTGCGTGCATGCGTATGTGTACTTATGCTCACGCGTTGTCTCTTATAATCTTATAATTTTCTACGAATTATCTTTGGAGTAGCAGTGACATTAATTTGTATGTATATTTTGCAGCAATGCCTTATACTTGTCAATTTTGATGTAGATGCTATCTGTGCGTCCAAGATACTGCAAACCTTATTTAAAAATGACAACGTTGTGTACACGCTCGTGCCTATTCAGGGAGTTAAAGATATCGTTCGA